TTGCTCACAAAAGAGGGTTGAATCCAGAGGGGATGTTCCAGAACAGAGGTGAAAGAAAGCAGAAGCACAGGAGCCTGGCGAGGCATCCAAACAAGGCTAGCAGCTAAGGCTACTACGATCAACATTACAGTACCAACCCTTGTCAAGGCCAAGATATGCTAACCACACAACAAAATGAACTGTTAGCGGGCACCCAAAACTTTTTTTTTAAACTCCTGATACTTATACCGGTACTGAACAAACGAAAGCACACCTGGAGAATGATGAGCGAGCTGTATCTGTATTTATGTGACTTGTTTACAGCTGTCGGTTATGATTGACAATCAACTGAGCTAGCAATAGCATAGCCAACATCGGGGGTATCCAGTGAAAAATTTTGGATACATATAATATACGCATGTGTGTGTGTGTGTGTGTGTGTGTGTGTGTGTGTGTGTTTTTTTCAGTAAATAAATGTACACTCTTGCACCTTTACACACACACACACACACACACACACACACACACACCCTTGTAGTGCCACATCTCGCTTGTCCAGCCTCATGTCAAGTGGCACGTTAAACCACCCAGTAAATCTTGTTTAATTTCTGCCCATTTCTGAAAATGTGCCACTGAGCGAGCTGTTCGACATTTCAAGAACGGTGTGAATGCAATAACAGAAATAATTTTAGAAGAAAGGCCTCCGAATTGAGTTTTTCGATCCTCGTTTGTGTGAAATTCATTGTCGGGCATCAAATTTCCCACGAGGAATCACTTCAGAAATGATGCCGCTATTTCATTCAACGTCTGAGTGTGTCTGTGCACTGCATAACAGATGGATGTGTGAGAATCACCATCTTGGGCCGCAGTGTAGATTTGACGACTAGCCAGCGTTCAGTACCATCTGTGTGCTCTACCTCAAGCACATTATGACTCAGGTCTTTACGCGTCATCGTTACAAGGCGGTTCTCAGCCTGCAGCATTGCAGAGAGAGCAGAAAGAACACAGAAAACAAAAACAAATAAATGACATGAAAAAATATGCTTCATGACCACTCGTTCCTTTGCACTTTCAAGTAGCATGCAAGTGCCGGAGGTACCTGATTGTAGATGGTGATCGAACGTAGCCGGTGCAGAAACAGCAGCAGGGAAGGGTGCACGTCATGGAACAGGTTTCGGGTCTGATGGCTCTCGGAGCGCAGAGGAAGGCAGATCTTAGTTGTCCAGCTGCTAAGAAATTAAATGTAGAGGTTCATAAGTGGCTCACTGTCACATTGATGCTTGAGACAAGTGGTTTCAACATGAGAGCCAGAGATACCCATTGAGCAAATGAAAATGTGTCACAACCCAATAGTTTGGCCATGGTATTTTTGGGTTCAATGTACGTAGGGTAGAGCTGTGCAAAAAATTATCACAATTGTGTTTTTGATTCTGGCCGATCTCCATTATTATCACAATTTTTTTTTAATTGACAATTTTAAAGCATCTATACTGAAAACTAAAGAAAATAGTGTTTCAACATTTTTTTTAATCCAACTGAAAAAGACGACCACAAATAAAATGTATGAAAACCATTTTAACTCAACAGTATGACAAATGTGGAACAACATAAAATAAGTGACCTACTTTAGAGACGAGTGTGGGGATGCAATCATGCACTGTTCTCACCACCTTAGCGCACGGGCAAAGAAAAATCACATACTTTGTCCAATAGCGGCAAGTTAGTAGTGGCCTTACTCGACTATGCTCACATTTTTTATGCTTTCCACATAATCACTTGGGTGGTAAGTACAGCTTGAAATGATTAGAAAGATTTGTTGTGTTGTCCGTTTGCGAGGACACCGACCATTGACGTACCCTGCATCGGGTTACTTTACGCCACATTGCTTGGAAATACCTGTGAAGTAAGGAGTCATTTAACTGTGGGTCCAAGGGCCTATCATCATCCATCCAGTGGGGGAGTATATATCCCATGGGGCCGCAGGTCTTGTCGAAAAACAAATGGAAGCCATTGGAGTGAATCTCTGGACGGTCTGTGACCTTGAATACTGACTTAAAGCCAATGCCCTTTTGTCCTGCAGAGACCAAAAGGACACAGTCTTATAAAATACAGTAATACATTGACTTAAGACTTTTCATTTGCTCTGTGATGATGCTTGTTTGTGAATCAATTTAATGAAAAAAAATATTCTTCAAAAAATATGAATAAACATTCAACCTATATAGTTCCAAGAAAAATGTGAGGAAATTGGATTTTTTTAAAAAACTTATGAAAAAAATAATTTCAAAAAGGAAAACAAATAGAATATGCAAATCCAGAGGTGCCAAACTGCTAGTATGCAAGGGCTGATTGCAGTTGTAAGTTGTAGTATCACCATTCACCACTAGATGGCAAAAAAAATGACGCAGTTGTGCTTACAACTGCCTCATACTACAACTTGATACAGGCCTAAAAAAAAATCTGTTGATTTTGGACGGATATGCAGGACTAATATTGTATCTCAACTGTGTAAAAATTTTGAGTGAGTGGATTTTTGTGAAAAAAAAAATACAAAATGAGTTGTTGCAGTTGATAGTTTCTGGTTAAGCAGTTTGCCATCCTCAAGTGGTAATTTTTATGCAAGAGAGTTCCTTGCACTGGAAAAAAAAAATCTGTATATTTCTATTTTGTTGTTTGCTTCAAACCCCTTGTTATTGGGTTTGGATCATGGATCTTTGATAAATGCATTGAAAAATGTACTATCAAAATTGAAGTATATTTAAAATAGATATTTTCGTCCATATTTAAAACAGAATTTTCGAGCGGTGATAGGCGATTTTGTAAATCCTAATACATACCGATATATCCATATTTGTGTTTGCCCTTGGTACTTTGACCCACATCACATATAGCCTTTATGTTTGCCTCCTGGAAGCCAGTCTCATTGTTGAGAATGGTGATGCAGTCCCTCTCAACCACAAAAGCCAGTGCTGGAACAACATCAGAACCTGATGGGTAATTGTTGTCATCTGCATTCTGGAAATGGAGTAAAAGTTAGAATGAGTTGCATGGTTGCAGATGCAATACTGTGTTTCTCTTCAGTCGAGCACAGCTTCCACATCTAAAGAATGCGTGATCCTCTGCTTGCCCGTCAAAGTCATCGTGCACAATTTCAACTCATCCAAAAATCAAAACAAGGCTACCTACAAGAAATTATAGCATGTGCATGTCCGTTTAGAAATAGGCATGGGCCACATTAAAAAAAATAAAGAAAGAAATTTCTGTTGATGTACAATCTGCCACTGTATTATTCACAAGCAATTATTTAACAGCGAGATGAATCGAAAAAGAATCCACACTGTATATCTTAAGAAGCAAATTTAAGAGAGGAAAGAAAATGCGAAATTAATGTCACTCATTTTACAGGATTATTGATAATGTAAATACACGGTTAGGATGACAGAACCGAGCGGGAAGTATATGGCTTGCAGGCACACGGTCTTGAGATGCATCGGCAATTCTACACACCAATAAACATGTTTTGAAGTGCAGCAACAGATATATAAATGCAACAGATTTAAAAAGTGTGTTAAAGGGGACAAACACCTGAATGAGTTCCAAAACAAAATGTGTGTCTTTGCTGTAGAGCTCGGTCGAGAGGCGATCCAAACTTCTGCCAAGCCGGTACTGGTGGGCCTGGATCAGGTTTTGACCTTCAGATGTCAGTTCCACACCAATACCAAACTCTTTTTTTCTGTCATAAAAAGAAAAATGAGTGAAACATATCGTTGGATTACTTTTGGGAAACTGAATCAAACAAGTAAAAAAAAAAAAAAAGACAACAGACCTTATTTCCTCAATTATTGCTCTGTGAACATCTAAAGTGGGCTCAGGTTGAGAAGTGGCCAGCTCGTCCTCATTCAAATCCAGAAGTTCTGACGGATTGCTGCACACGGCTTGGGCTTCGCTGCAGTTGTCCGACATCTCAACAAACAGTTCTTCTTCGGCCGATTCTTCCTCCGCTAGATCTTCTCCTTCTTGTGCAATTCAAATAGTATATATCTGTATTCTATTTGCTCGAATAAAATTGCATCTATTTGCATGATGTATTCTTCTAGTCATTTCGAATTTAAAAGCAATCAAATGAACAGCCAGAGAATAATAACGTCTTGCTGCCAATCACCTTGTTGAAGGCCGTGGTTGAGAGGACTGGAGGATAAACCGCTGTCTGTTGCGTTGTTGTCTGCTACACCCTCATCGTCACTCATGTTCTCGCCTGACAGACTGCTGCTCTCAGAATCCACCACATTAGACTGAAGTCATAAACAAAGCACATTGTATGATCACTTTGCCAGAGCTGGAATACATAAACACAACCGACAACGATGAGACATGACATAATTCTTACCGCCCAGGCTTAACGTATTAATTGTGCAAAATTAATTACGGGGGGGAGGGAATAAAATGTAATCACAGATTTCTGTTTCTGCACACTAGATGACAAGGGACTTTCCCTCTGTGCCCTAGTTATATTTATTAGGCACATCAATGATAGTGACATGTTCGATTTTTACCAAGAAATGTTGGAGAAAGACATCATGGCTTTCAAAGTATCTCATTTGAATGTTTGGAATAATGACAAAAAAATCGCCAAAGAACCAAAGAGTGAACTCTCAAATGCTTTTTGTGGTGGCAACAGCTCATCTCTAAGTTGTTGTGGCCTCCTGACTACTTGGTTGAACATTGCACGAATTCTTTTCGGGTGTGGAAAAGACAAGTTGGGAAAAAAAATGGCTTTAATTTTGTGGTTTAAGTTGTTGAGTTTTTCTTTTTTTAATTACAATTGAAAAACGATGCTTATTGTTTCTCGTGAGCACACTGAATTCAAATATGATGAACAGTAAAATTGATTAATTAGTTACAAAGCCTTCAATAAATTATATTTTGGCCAGGGCCATTTGAAAATAAAGTGCTGTATGAAATGATCAGTCAATTTCTATCTATTTTTAATAAAACTGGCATTTAAAGCCACATACATTGGTATATTCAGTTACATTGAAATAAAATGAGCATTCACCTGTGTTTGGACTTTCGGCTGATGTAAAGGTCCTGAGTATGAGGCGCCATTTGGGATCTGCGATGTTGTCAGCTTTTTTTGGTAGTCCTTCAACCACTCTGTGATGCCCATAAGGATTCCAAGTCGATGCAAACAGTTTATGTGCCTCGGGTTTGACTGGGCCACAGTGATTAGGACCAGTTTTGACTTTGTTTGACCCAAGACTCTGGACAAAGGCTCTAAAAACACCTGAAGGTCACAGTCAGTTGAGAGCAATGATACCAGTGATGATTTTTAGGAGACGTGTGTTATTTCAAAAAAAAAAGAATGATTCTACTGAAATAAACCATGAATACGATTCATCTAATCCCACGAATAAAGTGACCATTCATCTGGCACATTTTACTTTAGAATGTAAATATTGTGGAACGCCCAAGTCAATGACAATCCTTTCCCTGACTTCAAAGTGGTTAATTTTAAGAGATGTGAGAATGGGAATCAATTTGTGCTCCTCAAGCAATGTTTTAAATCGCATGTTAACATTTCTTATCTTTAATGGTTTATATAGTTGATCCTAAAATAAGTAGCACACTGGTATCAAACTCAAGGCCCGGGGGCCCGATCTGGCCCGCCGGGTCATTTTATGCGGGCCGCGAAATCAAATCATGTGTGTCAACTTGCGTGATCCTCGCTAAAATCTGTACCGAAATGTCAAATTGTCATGTGTAAGAAATAACGTTGAGATTTTGCAATAATGATTTTGCCCTGTTTCCACTCGCTTGAATTACAATTAAACAAACGATTGTTGTTGAGTTGACTGATTTCCAAACATTCATTCAAAACAAACATTCATTTGTTGTGAGACGATTAAACAATTTTGTGGTTTCACTGTAATAACGGCGCTCCGAGAGAAGACGTAATTCCAAAGTGGCCCGCGACAAAAATCAGTTTGACACGCCCTGGAGTCGCCAAATCGTTTAACTGTTGCAGTAGCATAAAACAGACTACAGGTTTTACCCAGAAACATTTGGTTAAACACTAATTTGCTTTTCACTTTAAAGCTTTTCAAACAGTTTGAAGTTTGTTTTTAACATTTACTGTATGTACAATATTTGGATGGACGAAGAAAAAAGGTCATTTTCAATTTAACGGACAATCGGCTTAAATGGATGAACATGTTCGGCTGTATAAAGACTTGTAAATACAGTGCAACTAACCTGCTGCAAAAGAGCCTGACAGATTCTATTCGGAATTCGAACCAAACACTCCAAAAGGAAATTTGCCACTGTAGTGTAACATGACATGTCCTCTTCAGCTCGAGACAGATCTAGACCCAAAAGCAAATTTTAGTTAGATAACAAGGCTGTGTTTTCAAAAACAATGCAAGGGAGGCTTAAATATTTCTCTGCTACCTTCTTCAGCCACAGCCGCCGCCAGGGAACTCTGCATATGATTCGCCAGGAGGGCCGTGGGAGCATTTGTGATCCCATCGGCTACAACAATGGACACGAGGTGACCAGCTGTCCCCACGGGGTCAAGGGTCAAGGCGGCGTTGGAGAAATACGTGTCTCCTGTGTCGGAAGTGATTCTGAGCAACAAACTTGGCGCCACCTCCAACGCTGCCAAGCCTGTATTTGCTGTCATTGGTCAAAACGGAAGATGTCAATAAGGCCATTGCATCCGAGAATTGTTTCCAGAAATTTTCTATTCCTACCAATTTCCCACCTTGTCTGTACAAACACCTACCTGCATGTCTTTCAATAAAATCTTTGAGGGAGCCATGGAAAGGTTTGAATATAAGCTCCCATTGACTCCATTCACTTAAATCCTCTAACAGAGGACAAGAATGCAAACTAGCCAATGCCTGGAGCTTTGAAACCTCCCCAAGCCGCCCCACTGCTTCACACTCACTTTCGGCACTGGTGACAGCGAACAGAAAAAGCACTGGTTAGACTGGTTCGTTTGTCAGGATTTGTGTGCGTTTGATTTCTGGCACCGGCAGACAATCCATAGCACTCACCTTAAAATGGGATGCCGAGCAAACAATGTAGACTCATAAAAGACCAGACTCGGTCCTCCTCCACCGAGGTCTTTCTGGCATTGGACTAGTCTGGCCAGTGCCTGTAGCGAGCCGTAGCCCAAGTTGCGACTATCCTGCACTCCATAATGGGACCGCAGTGCCAACTCAATGTGGGACAGCTGAGGAACGTTGAAAAGAGAAGAATATGTTTCCACTTCAAAATCATTTATAGCACAGAGGGCCTTTAGTTTACAACAGCAGTCTGGTCGACAGTGGCGACATACATAAATTAGTACAAGCGCCCTAGTTTACAACTAAATTACGTTATCTTGCAAATGCATGTAAATAAGTGAGCACTCTAGCATAGTGAGATAACCAAGTCTTGAGCTGCAAGCCAGGAGCTTTGAAACCTCCCCAAGCCGCCCCACTGCTTCGCACTCACTTTCGGCACTGGTGATAGCGATCAAAAAAAGCACTGGTTAGACTAGTTTGTTTGTCAGGATTTGTGTGGGTTTGATTTCTGGCACCGGCAGACAATCCATAGCACTCACCTTAAAATGGGATGCCGAGCAAACAATGTAGACTCATAAAAGACCAGACTCGGTCCTCCTCCACCGAGGTCTTTCTGGCATTGGACTAGTCTGGCCAGTGCCTGTAGCGAGCCGTAGCCCAAGTTGCGACTATCCTGCACTCCATAATGGGACCGCAGTGCCAACTCAATGTGGGACAGCTGAGGAACGTTGAAAAGAGAAGAATATGTTTCCACTTCAAAATCATTCATAGAACAGAGGGCCTTCAGTTTACAACAGCATTCTGGTCTACAGTGGCGACATACATACATTAGTACAAGCGCCCTATTTTATAACTAAATTATGTTATCATGCAAATGCATGTAAATAAGTGAGCACTCTAGCGTAGTGAGATAACCAAGTCTTGAGCTGCAAGCCGTTTGTAACCTTAAAACGTTGTGTGTCAGGGCCATCCTAAACTGTGGCGCTTTAATGTACTTTCCTATTATTTTATTAGACGTCGACTCACTTCATCTTGACCACCAGAAGTATTTTGCCCACACTGTTTGATGAACTCAAATATGTCTTGTTTGGTGGGTCTGGAAAAACTTCTTGCAGATTCCATGCCACCACTTCTCAGAATCAAAGTTGGACCAAGCACGTCCTGCAGTAGCTGCATTCAACACAACATCGATTTGTTTTTCAAGGACTCAAGTACCCAGGACCAACAGTTGGCATCCAAATACGCACATAGATAGTAATTGGTACCTGAATATGTTTCGCCAAGAATCCCAAGAAGCTGCCTTGACCCAAGGAATGAAAGTCTTTGACCTGGAAGTGCTTGGTCAACTTCCCCTCTATGATGGCAATATCAGCCAAATGGATGGCTGAGTTTATCGAGGACAGGCTATCTTTTAGGTACTGCTTCACTTTGGCTGAGAAATAGATTCAGAATTAAGGGAATTAGTTGTGAGAAGATGTGTGGCAAAAAGACATGTCGGCCCATCCTTTACGCATCTTGAATTAATACCTTCACTGGGAATTGATGTGGCAGGTCTGTCTTCCATTGGATCATTTTTTTCAGAGGTTTGGGGATTTGTTTGAATATAAGCTCCCATTGACTCCATTCATTTAAATCCTCTAACAGAGGACAAGAATGCAAACTAGCCAATGCCTGGAGCTTTGAAACCTCCCCAAGCCGCCCCACTGCTTCGCACTCACTTTCGGCACTGGTGATAGCGATCAAAAAAAGCACTGGTTAGACTAGTTTGTTTGTCAGGATTTGTGTGGGTTTGATTTCTGGCACCGGCAGACAATCCATAGCACTCACCTTAAAATGGGATGCCGAGCAAACAATGTAGACTCATAAAAGACCAGACTCGGTCCTCCTCCACCGAGGTCTTTCTGGCATTGGACTAGTCTGGCCAGTGCCTGTAGCGAGCCGTAGCCCAAGTTGCGACTATCCTGCACTCCATAATGGGACCGCAGTGCCAACTCAATGTGGGACAGCTGAGGAACGTTGAAAAGAGAAGAATATGTTTCCACTTCAAAATCATTCATAGAACAGAGGGCCTTCAGTTTACAACAGCATTCTGGTCTACAGTGGCGACATACATACATTAGTACAAGCGCCCTATTTTATAACTAAATTATGTTATCATGCAAATGCATGTAAATAAGTGAGCACTCTAGCATAGTGAGATAACCAAGTCTTGAGCTGCAAGCCGTTTGTAACCTTAAAACGTTGTGTGTCAGGGCCATCCTAAACTGTGGCGCTTTGATGTACTTTCCTATTATTTTATTAGACGTCGACTCACTTCATCTTGACCACCAGAAGTAGTTTGCCCACACTGCTTGATGAACTCAAATATGTCTTGTTTGGTGGGTCTGGAAAAACTTCTTGCAGATTCCATGCCGCCACTTCTCAGAATCAAAGTTGGACCAAGCACGTCCTGCAGTAGCTGCATTCAACACAACATCGATTTGTTTTTCAAGGACTCAAGTACCCAGGACCAACAGTTGGCATCCAAATACGCACATAGATAGTAATTGGTACCTGAATATGTTTCGCCAAGAATCCCAAGAAGCTGCCTTGACCCAAGGAATGAAAGTCTTTGACCTGGAAGTGCTTGGTCAACTTCCCCTCTATGATGGCAATATCAGCCAAATGGATGGCTGAGTTTATCGAGGACAGGCTATCTTTTAGGTACTGCTTCACTTTGGCTGAGAAATAGATTCAGAATTAAGGGAATTAGTTGTGAGAAGATGTGTGGCAAAAATACATGTCGTCCCATCCTTTACGCATCTTGAATTAATACCTTCACTGGGAATTGATGTGGCAGGTCTGTCTTCCATTGGATCATTTTTTTCAGAGGTTTGGGGAGTTTTCTCATTGGCCACCTGGTCCTGTGGGACAGCTAGTGAGCCCCCACAGATTGCCAACTGAAAAAGCGCTGTTGCTAGCTTGTTGCCGGACACTTCTGTTAGGAATTTCCGTACATGCTGCAATAAATAATAAAATACAACACAATAGACAAAACAATGTAGATGAATAGGTGATAAACCCATACAATGCATGCAAAATAATTCATAAGACAGGCTCAAATGTGGTGGTCCCATTTTCTGCCTAAGATTTTGTGTCTAGTTCATGTTTGTGTGCTTTGTGTATGTCAATGTTCTATGTACTATGTTGCTCACAAAAGAGGGTTGAATCCAGAGGGGATGCTCCAGAACAGAGGTGAAAGACAAGCTAGATGTGTGTGTGTGCTCACTCACACATCTAGCTTGTCCAGCCTCATGTCAAGTGGCCCGTTAAACCACCCACCCACACACCCACACACACACACACACACACACACACACACACACACACACACACTTGTAGTGCCACATCTCGCTTGTCCAGCCTCATGTCAAGTGGCCCGTTAAACCACCCAGTAAATCTTGTTTAATTTCTGCCCATTTCTGAAAATGTGCCACTGAGCGAGCTGTTCGACATTTCAAGAACAGTGTGAATGCAATAACAGAAATAATTTTAGAAGAAAGGCCTCCGAATTGAGTTTTTCAATCCTCGTTTGTGTGAAATACATTGTCGGGCAACCCCTAAACTACACCGTCTAAAACTGTCAAAGCCAAAGGGGAAGCAGAGCTGGTCGCGCCGCACCAGGTCGTCATGGTAACAAAAGAGAATTGAGCGTATCATTTTGGTGTAACCCTTGACAACTGTTCAACTTTCACGGCCCTGTTTTCAGCAATAGAAGTACATACTTTGGAAGGTCTCCCGCGTATCATTTTGGTGTAACCCTTGACAACTGTTCAGCTTCCCGGCCCTGTTTTCAGCAATAGAAGTACATACTTTACCATACCAACATACATCCTTATGCAATCCAGAACTCAACACCTTTTCTGCATTTGTGAAGACTGCCAGCACCACTTCTGCTGCTGTCAAGGAGGCATATTTTCTTCTGAGTTCCAAGTTCCCAGCAAAGACAGAGCTTGTGGCTTTTACTGGCTCAAGGACACTCTTCTTGAGTTTTATCAGATGCTCCCGGGTCTCCTCTTCCAGCTCTTTCCGAATAGCTTCTTTCATCTCGTTCATTTCGCTGTGCTCAAGACGACTCACTTTGTTTAATGTCTGAAGGAGACACAGAGAGAAATTTCATCCAAATACTTTTAAGGTGTTTGATTCATTTTAAGGATGACGAAGAAAAAGAAAAAAAGAATGATCACTCCAAAACAAAAACAAACAAACAAAAAAGTCGCCCAAAACCTTACCGCGATGGGCAGCCCGAGACTGTGTATCCTGATACCCAGCTCGTAAGGAGACTCACAGTTATAATGGTCAGCTAGATACTTCATAAACTCAGCCAGGTCCACTTTGGGCTCTTTTGCCTTTCTCCTGTAATTGCGAAGTTGCTAGAAACAGGAAAACAAGAAAACATGGAGAATGAGCATAACTCATGTGCCTTTATGTACAGCGGTGGGAAAAAAAATAAATAAATTGGCCGCCCTTGTTTCTTCAGTTTCCTGTTAATTCTAACCACCTGGGACACCTAAAGGTTCTTTGGACATGAGCGATTGCTCATGTGATAATACCGTATTGGCCCGAATATAAGACGGTGTTTTTTCCATTGAAATAAGACTGAAAAAGTGGGGGTCGTCTTATATTCGGGGTCTAGACATTATACCCATTCACGATGCTAGATGGCGCCAGATATCAATGAAGCGAATGCTGAACTTGACTCCCCAGGCCAAAGTGAACCCCTGCCACGAAGAATAAAAATAAAAATAGCGGTAGCACGAAGAAGAAAAATAAAAAATAGCAGTAAGAAGGAAAAGAGAAGAAAATAATAGAAGAGATAACAGAAAATGGAGAAACGTAGCGACAATCTGGAGAAAAGTGGGTCGAACATCGGCCAGGTTAACCGGCAGCTGAGGAGAAGTTATGATGTAATTTACATTTAAAAAACCAGAAGTCATTCATTTACGAATGTGATTGCACTTTAGATTTGAATGAGGCAAAATAACATGCTTTTTCTCTCAAATATATTGTTATAATCATTTGTTTCAGATGTACTGTAATTATTTTCTATATAAAAATTAATTTGGTGTTCAAAAAGTCTTTTTTCAAACTTGAGTCTTGAAAAAGAGGGGCTCGTCTTATAATTAGGGCCGTCTTATATTCGGGCCAATACGGTAGTTAAATTGAAAAACTGGTCTGTAGCCATTTAAAAGGGTTTTCTTCGCGACCAAAATCACAGAGGTTCTTTACAACAATTTTATGTGCGTGACTGATCAGCAATTATTTTGGTCGTTATAATTATGATATGAAATGTTGATACTATTTACATTTTAACCACGATTTGAAGTCGCACCTTTAAGATGTCTACTGTCTCAATCTGGACAATATCATCATCCTTGGTGTTGCTGTCAATCTTGAACATGCGGTGGATGACGGGGAGTTTGCAAAGAGGTCCCAGGTTTAGCTCTTCAAAGCGTTTCTTATTTTTTAGACCGGCCAAATTCTGTCCCAGCTCATAGAGCGTGCAGACGGACGTCACTGCTTCAGTGGACTGGAAGATAAAGAAAAATCCTTGAACACAAAGTACGATTTGGAGACTTTTGACTTGATAGGACTGGCTACTAACCTGTATGTACATTGTTATCTCTTTCACCAAGTAGTGAAGGTCGTTCAGGGCCTGAATACTACGAAGATTGAGTCTTTCTAATTCCTTCGAAGTCAGTTGCATTAAAATACACGTCCTTGAGATCACCTGGGAAAAGCAGTCGAGAATTATTTGTGATGCGTCTGAGCAAATTCACAATGTTAAACCTTTGACTTTTTTGCAGTGTCTCTCCCTGGATTTAATTTACATAAATCGTTTGCTTCAAGGAATACAAAGCAAGGTTCAAAGTGTATATGACTGCATTGCCAAAAGCTCTCTCATTTCAAAAAAAAACATACGTTCGTTTTTTTACCTTTTCTTTGGTGACCAGCTCTCCCTCTCCTGCGAGATCTCGTATCACATCCTCCATCAGACTGCTGACCGCGTCTGGATCCAGATCTCTTTTCTTCTTCCATTGGACTTCATCGTCCACCACCGCTTCCATGGCCCGCACATTATCTCGATGGACCTCTCTCACCTGGGCATTGTAAGCTTCCCGAAACACACTCGAACTGCATTCTCTCCGAGCTGCATCACTCTTTTTACTCGTACTGGCTGCAGCGTCTTGCTGTAAAGCTGAGGAAAAGACATTAAAAAAATTATTTACGGTCATCAAAATGAGCACATTCTATTCTGAATACAATCATATTTGTGTACGTACCAGCAGTTCCAGTACCAGATGGAATTGGGAGGTTATTGGAGGAAGATGATTCCAAAGTGTCATACATGGATAAGTACAGTTGAAAAGGAAGCTTTTCGCCATAGTGATGAAAATAGCAAACTTCCAATAGATCCATGGATGGTTCAGTTAGTTGGTATTTTCCAGCTACCTGAAACACAGTAATAATTTTTAAGAGTCTATCTAGCTAGCTAGCTATCCAGACAGACAGACAGACAGACAGACAGACAGACAGACAGACAGACAGACAGACAGATAGACAGATAGATAGATAGATAGATAGATAGATAGATAGATAGATAGATAGATAGATAGATAGATAGATAGATAGATAGTTAATTTATCACGGCCACGCTGCTCCTCGCTCGCTAGGTAGTCCAGTCCTGACTCGGAGGCGACCTGATTGGTCCTGCTAGTATGCTCGTCTTAAAGATGAAAACCATGCAGTTGAAAGTACACAAGGCCCAATACCTAAACTTGTAACTTTCTGAGCCTTTGTAGGCTCACAAGAAGTCACCAGGGTAGTTCTCACCATCTGCCGTTGTGACAGTGGCAAAAAGCACTCCTGGCGCTTGATAGGAGTTGTTAAGATATGATTCCTCTCTGTGTTGGTTCTGTTCAAACACTTGAAACAAAGAATGTCGAATGCTGTTGAAGGTATTTCCTGCTTACTGTGATTACAATCACCTTTGGTACCCCCTCACCCCCACTACTTTTATGACCCCTCCAGAGGACATGTCAACATCAAAAGAGGAACTGTTATCTCAAGTATCTGTGTTTGCTATGAGTACTATTGATCTCAGTCTCTTTCCTGGACATCTGTTTGCACACTTAAAACAACGTATGTAGTGTTTAAGTTTATCTTCTGCCTCCTTGGTTGATTAACGGGCCCCCCAAGTGTCTTCTGTTGTCCCCCCGCACCTTGGGTGGGTCCCTGATCGCTGTTTAGCCCCCCTGGGAAGACCTCTTATCTCAGGATGTATGCACAGCGGGGGTTCTGGAACTTGCCATCACACCAAATGGTGGGTAGTGGTGGTTTGGTCTCATCTCACCACTCCCAACTTCTTCCAGCCACACGGAGTCAGATGTCATGTTACTTTCTTTGTTTCCGGGATTTGCATGAGAGGCGTACCTAACCGTCTCTCATTATCATATTGTCTCTATATAATCTCATGAATGTGGTTCTTCTACGCTTCCTGTTTCAAATCTGGACCCCTCAGGAGCCCAAATCGATTTGTAAACTGCAGAAATAAATTAAAAGCCTTCGAAGGAACTGTTCATCGCCTCCAGCCTTTATTTGGATTACCAACATTCTCCTCGTCCGAAATTCAACGAACACGCGGGGAAGAGGAGGCCGCTCTGACCCCAACAGAGTCTATCGTATGGGTGTGTGATTGATCTGTGGATGATGCAAATGATATGATGATGATATATGATGATGATAAACAAATGGCGGAATAATGTGGAATTTAATGCCTTCTGATAGGCCCTTTGGCATCAAGCTAAGAGAGTAGAGAGGGCTTCGTGGTGACCTGGTGCAGCGGCGAAGTGGAAAGTTCAACAACCGGCATAATACTATCAAACTATCAAGACTTCGAAGATTGACAGAATTTTTTTTTTTTGCCTGCACAAGCAATATTCTATCAGTGGTTTGACTCACCTCTAAAATTCTCTTGTGCAGTTGTTGTTGGTCCAATTCATCAGTGAGCTCGGGTCCAGCTGGAAGATGTTTATCAGGAATGGGCTGACTTGATGAAGCTGAATCTGAACTTGAAGGTGTCTCTGTTTCCGATATTCCATCTCCAGGTGGACCTTGAGGTGGGAAGCGCTTGTGGATCACCAGGTCCCCTATCACTACCAGATCCCTGTCTAAGGTTGCTACCAGGTCAGCAATTGAACTGAAGCCCAAAGTGCTCATTTTCAGCTTATGGTGGAATTTTAGCCTATATTCTGTTGCCAGATGCTTCATAAGAATCCCTTTCGGATGTTCTGTCATCATGGTCACTAGATTTCTCACCTTCGTGACCTTCTTTTTTTCCTTTTTTAGTTTGGTGGGTTCACAGACCACAGCCGCAGCTATAGCACTCGCACTAGTTCCTGCAGCTTCAGCGTCAACTGTCCCAATATTGTCCTTGTAGTGCTTGTGAAACACCACATTTCCTTCTACAACCAAGTCGTTCTCCAGGCAGGCTAAGAGAGCAGCATTGGACTTAAATCCCAGGTTGGCTATTGATAGGCTCCGACGGTATGTCTTGCTATAGTACAGACTAAGTTTTTTTATGGGGATCCCTCCTTGATGCTGCTTCACCATGGCCACAATGTCTTCGAGAACGGTCTCCATCTTGATTAGTTCTGCCGGGTGGAAAAACACGTCAGCACTCCATAATTAACACCACAAAGCAGTTCCAAAAACGTATAACAGCACCTTGAAGATAGGATGTTAAGAACCAAAAAAACACGTGCTTGCAAATGTAAAGCATCTTTTTTTTTTTTTTTTTTTTTAAAGCGGCTAAAAGATTACCCTTTCGGTAATTTCAAATTCATTCCCACTCAATTTTTGATCCGAATATGAAAGATGTGTTTATTGACGGCTCTTCCCACAGAATGACTCTGAGGTAGGGGAGTGCCCAAGTAATGGCAGCCTTAGCAATTATATTTGCCATTGATGCGTACAGTAATTGCACTCTCTTGGTGAGTCAGACTAGGGCAAGGCGTTCATCATTGTCTTCTGGAGTTTCAGTCTCTCTAACAGTTCTCCTGAGCACTGGAATAGGATAAGGTTATTGGTCAGCATGGGACATAAAAGCCCCTACAAATCATGTCTAGGTAGCCCAATATATTTTGGAATAAAAAAAAAAAAAAAAAAAACTAATTTCTGGATGTTTTGCATACATTTATTCATTTATTTATGTATTTATTTATTCTTTTAGGACAAAGCACCAACTTTTTTCTTTCTGACTTTGCATACATTCGTAAAGGCGGCTGAGGATGAATCAGTGGAGACTCCAATTGAGTTGCCGTTCAGATTCGAGTTATAGCAGGTTCAGAGCAAGTTGTTGCGTGAAACGTCACAGGAGAAATGTTTGAATTTTCTGGTTTCAGGGAATTATTCTCAGGGTTTCTGTTCCAGACCAATTTTATTTTGTATTTCAACAAAAAGAAGGCATTTGTAAACATTTGCTTTGACTTTGGAAAGCAATGACTGAACTAGTAACTGGGTCAGTTTCGAAACAGTTTCGAGGACAACATCAAGCCTTCTCTCTTGTATGTTATTGCTTGATCGTTGATTAGTCACAAGAAAAATCTGTCAAGAAACAGTGATGAGGAAAATGTGTTTTGTAATACATGTTAATATCAAATAAAACAATGATCCAATTGTTCCATTAATCAATGGACTAACCAGTAAAATAATCAATTTTACAAATATTCATTTGTGACAGCCTTAGTGGTAAACACTCGATCGGTGACCAGGAGAGCTTGAACTCAAAATCTGCATTAGCTATTTGATGAGAAATTCAATTTCATCAAAATGATAAACAGAGTGCACTGACACAGGGCTTTATTTCGTAAAAACCAGGGATGGGCACAATTTTTCATTCGTGTTACCTGATGTATGACAAAAATTGTATTTTAAAATAGTTTTTAATTAGCATTTCAATTGCCTGGTGTAGAGCGCTGGTAACTGCAGACTAACAGAGCCAAACTAAACATACAAAACATAAACCACCTCCAGCCATCAAATCAGTGTCTTACCTTTTCTTTCTCCTGGATGTCCAGATCTCCTTTAACCAGTGAAACTGAGCCAGAAAGCCTATTGGTTTAGCTTATAAATGCCTCCCCCCCATCCTGTGGTGTTTCGATCTCTGCAGCCAGAGAGAAATGAAACTGAAAGTAAGAGGCTGGCTCATTGAAATGTACTACTGTAGTTGCTACTTGCCTCACTCTCATGTTCCTGTAATATGCAACTGTGTTATATGATATATTATTCAACGTATCTTCTCAGATATATTGGCATGATTTTTTTTTTTTTTAACTGATCTGGATGTTTAATCAATGAGGCTATGGGACCATCTGATTTCTCCAAAAACAATCAGAGAACATGATATCCCGTTTGAAATTGACAAAATACACTTATTTTTCTCATGAGTTCAGAGGAAATGAATACAGAGCAGAAAAAGGAGAAAAGAAGTCATGCTAAAGATACAGAAGAGATAGTTTCTCTTTCCTGGCCACCCCTGACTGAGTCCATGCTGACTCATGCATCATGTGATCTGCAAATGAAACTGACTGGAGCCTAGTGAAACAAAACAGAAATTGCAATTATGTGCAGTGCTGGCTGCTGGATTCTGAGCTGCCACTTCATAATTTACCGTTACCTTGATTTCCCCTCACCAGAACAACAAAGTATGTTCACCTGTCAAAATACCTAAGCCTGCATTTCCTTTTGTCCACATTATCCCATATGTCAGCGTCGATGTAGCCACACAGACACACTTACAGTTGGCCCAAGGTTATTTTGATTTAAAAAAAACAAAAACAAGAACATCAGTTTGATTAGACATCGGAAAACAGGAGCGCTGAGAGCCAACTTGTCTTCAAAAATGTACTTTAAAATGTACACACACAGTAAAATAGGTCGGCATAACCGAGTTTGCAGGATAAAGGTGAGATGTGAGCCAAGGCCAACAGGAGTCTAAAGGCCAAGTTGGACAGCTGGCTGACGTAAACCTGCATTCCCTTTGTTGCTAATCTTGATTTTATAAAATGTGAAGTTGCGCTGCCGCTTTTTTCTCTGGTTGTGAGGTGGAACAGCCTGGGACTGAATTGTAAATCCTCATCTCTAGAGTTTGAAAGATACTGATACGCAAATGTATTTTCTTCTTTTGTGTGGTTGTACACGGGATACAACTCGGTGGGCTGTATTCCATCCGCCAAAGATTTTAAGCGGATACATGTAGGGATATGTGAGAATAAGAAAGATACTACCATTCAAATGTATTTGACAGTTCACCTGGGAGTGGTTTAAGTGCACTCGCGGAAATGCCCACAATGCTGAGAATGGCATGATTTTTCACACTTTTCCATTCTTTCAAATTTCATTTCAAACCTCTATATATGCTGTTTCCAATTTAGAGGAAGATTCTATTTTCACTTGATAGGGACTTTAAACTTTTTAATGGTGCCTTCAAGGAGCATAGGCAACAAAGGACACTGATGAAAAAATATGGGATGCTGTTAAATTGATCAAATTGAAATCTATACATTATAAAATGGGGGCTGGGGAAGGGGGGGGGGGCTTTGAAGAGGGTATTTTTATATACATGCAGTGTAAAACGAAACTGGGGCGGCACGCCGGCCTCACAGTGAGGAGGTGCAGGGTTCGAATCCGGCTGTGTGGAGCTTGCATGTTCTCCCTGTGCCTGCGTGGGTTTTCTCCGGGTACTACGGTTTCCTCCCACATGCCCAAACCATACATGGAAAGTTAGTGGACCTCTCTAAATTGTCCCTAGGTGTAATTGTGAGAGTGGTTGTTGGTCTTTGTGTGCCTTACGATTGGCTGCCGACTTGTTCATGGTGTCCCCAGGCTACTGCCCGATGACAGCTGGGATAGGCTCCAGCACGCCCGCGACCCTTGTGAGGATAAGGAGATCAGAAAATGGATGTTTGGATAAAACGAAACTTACTTCCAAGATTTAGCACCATAAAGATGACCAAGAAAATGTTTTATCGTGCCCTTATTGAGCCAATACACACACACACACACACACACACACACACACACACACACACACCTAGTCACCAAGAGCAAAAAGTACCTTTCAAATTTACTTTGGCTTCTCATAACGGGTTTTGCATATTCCTACATTGTGGAGGCCCTGCAAAGAGATGAGTACACTTGTCAGATGAAAGCAAACAATTGAGTGCTGTAAGTGCAGTCTCTTGTTGAATTGTCCTGACTACCACGGCGTGGACAACAAATGAACACATCTATTATACTCTTATCATTATTATTATTACGTCGTGCGGATGTTGAATGGCGCACGTTTTTTAACAACAAACTTTCAGAACGCGTCACATGAAAACTGTGTTATTACTGAGAGAGGAACATCCAACCTTGACACAGCAAATCAGAATTTAATGAGATTGAAAATATCATGGCGTGTTTTGTGGTCTGCGTTTATCATGAACAGAAGCCGGTCGGGTTCTGTGACGAAGATTGACGGGGATGCTTTTGCTATCTGATCAGCTAGACTGGCTATCGTTGCTCGCACACTGTATACCTTAAGCTTGACATCCCTAGCTGGTAAATATAATGACTTACGTCATACCGCTGATATGTTGGAACCTTACCACTGTCAAAATGGCGACATCAGTAGCGCAATACTCACCGCTGTTTATTTAGTTTGCAAAAGCTCCCTCGCTCGCGCGATGGTGCATTTACGGTCCTCCAGAAGAGTAGGAAGTTTTACGATTCGGATGGTTGCGCACTTCAACACTGCATCCTAAAAAAGGGACGGATGAGAAAATTAAAAATGTATTCTGATACAACATGAGCCATGTTCAAGTCATCCTTATTGAAGTACTTTAGAAAACACACGTATCTTTATAATTCACTCCATATAACTGTAAAACTGCATACTTGAACAGATTAATTGAAGAACGCTATGCATTTAACCACACTTTTGTCTGCATTCAAACGACACAAAATTATTTTCAATGCCCTGATTTCTGGGGCATTTAGTACACTGACGCACAAGATGCATTGATTGACGCAGCTATTTTCTTCTTTGTCTAAAAGGCCCAATGGAAGCAGAGAAAAAGCATGGTAGTGTGAAAAATTCAGCTGGAGTTGTCACATGATTTACTTTATGGGCCACATAAAATGATGTGGCGGGCCAGATCACGCCCTTGGGCCTTGAGTTTGACTCTTGTGTCTAGCACAGTGACCAGAGGTGAACTCTCAGTTAAAGGGCCAGTACACACAAAAGCATTGCAAGATTTTATTCTGCAAATATTTGAATTCGAGACACGCTTTTCCATGCCCACTCAAATTCCTATTCCAGTCACCATTATTTTAAGACCAGCAGTAAAAAAAAAAATATCTACAACAGCACACAATTTGATTTGCTGTGAAACAGTGTGGTGGAACACTTTACAAAAAAAAACTATAAATTATGAACAGCGCGAACAACTTTACACACACAAAAAAAAAGACTATTTTCTTTCTTGTTTGGCCCCCTGCTGCTTATCCTCAAACTGCCCCTTGTAGGTGGGGAACCCCAATAGGTTCAAGTTTCCCTTGAGGAAGACAAGCTTATCAAAGCTGGCATTGGCCAGGGCGGTCCTCTTTGGCCGGACGATGTCACCGGCTGTTGAAAATACCCTCTCCACAGCAGCGGAGCTAGGGAGTGGAGTGTTGTATTTAATAAATAAGTCCACCCATGCCTCCCTGTGATCCTTTGGGAAGAGGGCCCAGGAAAGCGATTCCTGCTTGGGTTTCCAGTCATGGATGGTGGCCCTAAGCACCTCCTCCACATCCTGGTCTACCCCATCCTGGTCGGCGCCAAACAGCTCCCTGTAAGCATCATTAGATGTTTTAGTGAAATGGGAAGAAAAAGACAATTTATAGAATGCCTGAAAACAACATTGAATAACAGACAATAGATATCCATTCATCTATGTTTTTATCCACTTATCCTAACGAGGGTCGCGGGCATGCTGGAGCCTATCCCAGTTGTCTTCGCGCAGTAGGCGGGGTAAAACCGATGACTGGTAACGAAGCCGTCGTTACCAGTCATTCACAGGGCAACAACAGTTGTCTTCAATGTTTTGAGTATAAATATGAACTATTACTGGAAAACCCGGTCCTGGTAGCTCATCACGTCAGCCTGGGCCTTGGCTGCCCTTTGCCGCACCATGGCCTTAAGTTCCCTGACGATTCTGTCCTTGATGGCGTTGGCTTGGTTCGGGGCGATTCTTGCCAGGATGGTAGGGGTGAAGGATGGGTGCAAGGCAGAGGCCATGAGCAGGTCTTGGTCCTCAAAGAGGACGCCAAACCTAAAAATGAATAGCACTGTAAATCTCAGTTTCAAAACGTCAGGTAGATAAATACACACACAGACACACACACGCACTATTATAAACATCCATTCATCCATCGATCCATCCAACGTAGCTCGACCGGTAAATCGAGAGCTTCGCCTTTTGGCTCAGCTCCTTCTTTACCATGACAGACCGATACAAAGTCCGCATCACAATACTGATGCAATACTGAGGCCACCAAACCGGACCCTCCCAACGCCTTGGCTGTGTCTAGAAATTATGTTCATAAACGTTGTTTGTAATGACAAAAGGCAGCCTTAGCAGAGTCCAACCGTCAATGGAAATGAATCCGACTTAATGCCGGCAATGCGAACCAAACTGTGACATAGCTGGTATAGGGAACAAACAGCCCATATCAGAGGGTTCGGTACCCCATAGTTCCAAATCACGCCCCACAGAACTCCCCGAGGGACAGGGTCGAACGCCTTCTCTAAGTCTACAAAGCACATGTTGACTGGTTGGGCAAATTCCCATGCACCCTCGATGACCCTGCCAAAGGTGTTGAGTTCTTCCAGTGTTCCACGGCCGGGACAAAACCCACACTGCTCCTCCTAAATCTGAGACTCGTCATCCCGACAGAACCTCCTCTCCAGCACCCCTGAATAGAGAGTAAAATGTATTACAACATTTTATACACACACCTTTTGTCAAAGCCTCTGAGAAGGGACTGGATCAGGGGCTGGGCATACTGCAGCTCACCCCTCTGCTGGTCCTGTAGCAGCCACCTCTTCAAGACCAGGAGCGTCGGGAGGAGGATGCCCATGTAGGCGTTGTCCTCCCCCTGCAGGCTGTCCAGGGTGTCCGCCACAGGCTTCATGACATCCCTGTACTCCGTCAGGACCTGAAAAGTTCACGAGGAAACTTGATGCGCAACAGACTACGAAAAGCGGCACAAACTGGCTGTTTTTGCCCATCGGTAATGGTTCACAAATTAAATTAATTTTATTTTTTTCATACGCTGATGTCTTGATCCAGAATTGCCGCTCCTGCCTTGCCTCCGGGCTGGTTCATAATGATGTTGTTGATGGCCTCCACCTGCTCAGGCAGAGACATCACCTCCAGCAGCACATTCACACTGTTGAAGTAGGAGTTCCACCTACAGCGATAACACACGTTAAAAAAAATAAAATAAAAAAAAAGTGAGAGACAATTAATATGCCGTATTTGCCGGGTTATAAGTCACACTTTTTTCATAGTTTGACTGGGGTTGCGATTTATACTCCGGAGCGACTTGTGTGAAATTATCATTTCACATGTTATTTTCACATTACACCACAAGAGGGCGCCAGAGGCACGTGTTGATAAATCAAGATGAGACTGACGTAAGCGACGTAGAAGAGGAAGCGCCACATCTTCTCCCACCCGAGTTGGGGGAGTTTTTTAAAACTGACACAGAGGATGCAGATTTCATTGGATTTAGTGATTTGGAGTAACACTGATGGTTTGGTAAACTTATGATGTATGTATCTTCTTCATGCTAGAGTTATCTGAATAACGCTTCATATGTTATGTGAACATACCAAGCACGGTCTCGGTTCCTTGTTTATGCGTCATGTAATGTTAACATATCTCTATTTTATTGTTATTTTAAATTGCCTTTCAAGACGACTCGTATGTTCTTTGTGTTGGATTTTATCAAATAGATTTCCCCAGAAAATACGATTTATACTCAGTGTGACATATATTTGTTTCTTCTTTATTATGCATTTTATGGCTAGTGTGACCTATACTCCGCAGCGAATTAGAATCCGGAAAATACGGTAATTCATGATTTGGAGAATACATTACCTAACTAAAACCGGAGTTGTCAGCTTCCTCTTGATAGCTGTCTTGAGCTGATTGGCAGCAATAAGGCTCTGTTTCTGGAGTTTCCAGAGGTATTGGACCTTGGCGGTTGCCTTGCGCCAAGGAGTGTGCCCCCTGCTCCAGCCCACGACTTCGTTTATGTCCGTGGTCGCCAAGAGGTTCATGGTATGCACACTGGAACAAAATAAACATTGAAAGTAGCACCTCGCTTTCAAAGTTAAATCTTCAAAATCTGCTATTTCTTACCAGCAGCGGCGGTGAGGTGGCAGAGTGAGATGGGGATTGGAGTCATTGTCCTCGGCGTCAAGCTGTCCTTGGACGTCGCAAAGCTGCGCTGTTAACACTTCCTCATCCTCCTCCTGAACCACCAGCCTCTCCTTCTGTTCCCCAAAGGCATCGAAGGCGGCGACATAGTTTGCGCCATTGTCTGTGGTGGTAGCGACCACCTTATTGGCAATGCCAAACTCCTGGTGGATGTCATGGATGACTTCGCCCAGGAGCTCATGTGTCTGGCTGACCTGGGAAAAATATTTCTTGTTTTTGTTCTCAAGATTTATTCAGTACTTATTAGGCTTCAATTTTTTTTTTTTAACTCGGGCCAAGTCACTCAAATTAAGAACAAAATATATTTTGTAAAATCCACACATGACATGTTTTCATTTCTACCTTCAACTCCCTGCATGCCAAGGTTGCCTTCATCCTCTTCAAACTGGGCCGATCTATCCAGTGCACAGTCATGCCCAGGAAGGCACTGTGGAAATATTACGATTATATTAATCATGTAATAAATGTGTCTGTCATATGTAAAGTAGAGTAGATCAAATCAAAATAATATGACAAATGTATAGCTTTACCGTCTCTGCACCGACCAGCTGTCAGCAGTGGTTGCCACCCACGTCTGCTTGTACAGCAGGTTGTTGAGCTGCAGCTTGGCTTTATCCATCAGATCACCCAGGTCCCTCGCCAGGGTGTTCCTGGACATGAGCTGGAACTGAGGACTGAGGTAGGCAAACATCTCCCGTGTGTAGGGGTGTTCACAAAGGCTGAGGGGGGAAAGTGTTTCCACAAACCACCTGTAAAAGGACATTTAAAAATAATTGCATACATCTGCTAATAAATAATGATTGATTAAATTAGCAGCATTATGAAGAAGATAAATAATCAATTTTAAATATTTGTAAACAAATACGAAACTTGAACCCAGAGGAAAATTAAACTGATATTTTTCGAGTTCATGTTTCCTCACCTTGTAACAATCTTCTTGGCCATGTCCTGGCTGAACTTGTGCCTGACAGATTCCTCCACTGAGAGGTGGCGCCTCTTGGAGGGACACTCCATGGAGTGGCTACGGCCACGCTTACTGTTTCCAGCCAGCGCGGCGGTGAGCTCGTGCTTCTGTCCAGGGTGCGCCTATTTGAACCCCCCCAAAAAAATTGTAAAAATAATATTTACTAAATATTGTTCTCTTTAGAATTAATTGCACTTATTTTATACTTTTGTTCATTCTGTCCCTAAGTATAAAAGTCTAACTGTTTTCATTAAAATACATTTCAAGCTTTTAACTCACGTTTTCATAGTGCCGGGTAAGATGGGCCCTGGAAACTGAGGTGTAGGTCACACCTGTGTTTTTGCAAAAAGGCTGCATACACTTGGCCCTGCCAGTGTACACTTTGCTCTTGCCCATGCCTTCACGTTTCAAGAACTTTGAAAAGATGTAAAATCTAAAAAATAAAAAATAAAATAATTCAAATAAATAGTTAACAGGTGAGTGGTGATTTTTTTTCCAAATAAACCAAGTGTTGCGACTAGCCCAAATTGAATGTCATAGGTATGCAACATAATTAAAATATTTTTATAGGCAAGAGTATCCCTGAAAACAGCTTGAAAAAAGGAGGCAAATTAAATTTAAAAGTTGTCATTTTTGTAAAGATGTGAATCGTTTGCTGTGTTGAAAAACAGGTTCAAAAGTACAAAAAATACTATATAAATCAATTTACAGGCGGTAAATTGTTTAAATGCCGCAATTTTTGGAATGTGTTAGATTGAGTGTAATTTAATGAAATATTGATTAGATTGAGTGTACTTTCATGAAATATTGATTACTAGTATGAAAGTATAACGGTACATAAATGTGCCTGAGTGTGTGCGTTGGTGATCAGGTTTGTTTGTTTATTTTTTTAAGAAAAAGGACGACGACTATCCCTACGTCTGCGATAAACAGAAATACTGCATTAAAAATTCATCAAATCGAAAACGAGGCAACAAGGAGATTACAGTATACATAACATCTCTAAAAATGTATGCAAATACACATTTTTAACCTACGAGAGCAGATTTCTCTCAATCGGCCTCACGAGTAATGGTGAAAATTAATCAACTATAATATACCTGAATATGACGAAAAAATGCATTATCTTACTTTTCGCAGTTCTCGAGGTAGCGTTTTAGCGCCCTGGTGGCTTCGGCATTTTCCAGCTCCCGAGCGTCAGTCTCCTCCACCTCCGAATCCTCCTCAGACTCTTCCAGCAACCGAGTTGAAGAGTCAAGGGACATGCTGGCGTCAATGTCACCCTCCGCATCCACTCCCGCTGTGCTGGTTCTGACGCTGCTAACCCTACTGGATCTCTCATCATCACCATGAATAATACTAATAGCAGAAGATGGACTCCCGCTATGTGTACTTTTGAAAAATGTATCCATAATCCAACACGAGCCACCCCTCTGGTTTCTGTCTTCTTCTCCTGAAGTTTTATGGTGGTTGGCAAGAAACTTTCAGGTACATTACTGCCACCTACTGGTAAGGAGTGTGAACCAGGTATGCAGCTAATCCAGTGGTTCTGAACCTGGGTTCGACGGAGCCTCTGCCATGGAGGTTAAGACATACCCGACTTAAAATGTCAATTAATGATTACATTGCTTGTGCATTCAGTGCAGTGGGAAATTTCGTTAGCTCAGGAGTCAACGTTCGACTGTTGTTATAGTACGTCGTAAAATGTAAAAAACTTAATACTTATGTCTTGAAATTTTATTTATTTTTTTTCTGTTTGGAATAAATGCGTTTTTATGTCTTGAATTTGTAAGAAGTCATATTTTTGTTTTTCACTAATGAAGGGTTCGGTGAATGTGCATATGAACTGTTGGGTTCGATGCCTCTAACAAGGTTAAGAACCACTGCGCTAACCTCTGACCCCAAAAAAACACACACGATTACACGACTCCTCTTCACAATTCCGCCCAGTATTGCCAATTTAGCGACTTTCTCGCTATATTTAGCGAATTTTCCTCTAGCGACTCGCGACTTTTTCTGATGTTATTGGAAACTCTGATGTGAAAGTACAGTATGTATCGTTATTATTCTCGACATGTGCTTCCGTCAGTTTCCCGGAGGATGGAGGTGGGGGTCTGAAAAACAAACAAACAAAGAAAAACAAACAAACAAACAAACCGAACAAAAACAATGAAACTGAATGAGGGCCTAGTTTTAGGTACAGTACCTTAATTTTCTCAAATGTAATTGAGATGTGTTCGATTGTCTCTTTTTGGTTAGATTGTTAAAGTAGATTGTATACAAAAAACAAGGTTAAAATGTTCGTGTTGCATCGTGACCAAACCAAACTTAAGAAAACTAAACAAAAAAATAAAATAAAAAAAGGAAATAAGAAATAGAGAAACCAACTAAGTAACCTGAGTGTCTCTATTGGTTCACTTTTCTCATATCAAGGAGGATGATTAGAATTGTGACAATAAAAGAAACAAGAATCCAGAGAATAAAGTGCATTTGTAATTGTAAACCTATTTAGGGTGGTTTTTTTACCCACCTTTTGTCTCTCCCAAGCCATTATTCCTTTCTTACAGTGTCCATTACAGCATGCACATGGTCTATTATGCAAATGGGTGATGGCAGCATTAAGCAACCCCAAGCGACGTTTAGGACAGTCAATCTCTACTTTCTTTGGTGAGGAGTTGGCAACAAAGATTCCGCCACAGCGGCTCAACATGATTTACAGCCAGCCTCAGAATTCAATGAATCAGGACTCTTTGGTGGTTACAAATTCCCATTTTTACGCATTCTTGGTTTGTCAGAAGTCTGGAGTCCAGGTGTTTAAAACAAAACCTTTGTGCAAAGAGCAGACTTAGTTTTTAGACAGCAATACAAAAAAAAAAAAAAACAACCAAAAACAAAATATAAAATATTATTTTAATCATTATGTTTGTGACATCCTTAGTGTTCAGTTTGAATTGTCTGTGTCGTGGTTAATAAATACTCAGATTTTGACTTTCAACCTCACAGCAGTTGTTACACTTTGACAAAGAAACAATTCACGGAAAATTTCAATAATACTGACATCTCTCAATATATTGCACACATTACCTAGTTAAACCCACAAAGTTAGTATTTTGAGGGAAATGGGGAAATTCAGCCCCAAATCCCAAATCCTAACAAAATAATTACACATGTAATAGAATACTAGACCAAATTCCCACAAACTTTCAAATTAATTTTAAAAGGACGGTTGCAATTATAATAAAAGTTGATCCCCTTGAATAAACATGATATATTGCATATATTTTTATCAGAATCACAAGCAGAATTGCCCCCCCCCCCGACCCCCCAAGCAGTGAAGCAAATATGAACCATTTTGTTGTGATGGAACAACAACAATAAAGTCCCTGGGTTATTTTGATTTAAATTATCCAAAAGTGCCAAAACATAACTCATTGATGCAACAATTATTAACTTAAGAAATACCAGAAGGGTAAAAATAAAAAAAAAGGATCTAATAACTACAACTAGCTCTACTTGTACACACACATTACATCTAAACAGCTTAAAATGCTTTAAAATGCAAGCGCTCTCTAAAGTCTCTGTGTACAGATGTGTGAGTGTGTGCATATATGCATGCACAGTGACACAGTGAACGGTTGTTGCCCCTTGAATTTTGGTTACAATTCGGGCTTCAAATAGACAGGTATACAATTGGATTTTTTTTTATTTATTTTTTTTTTTATGAACAATCAACACCAAGCGGGACACAAGCGGCACACAATCGTGACGCCGAACGAAATCCATATGATATTTTACAATTTTTTTAAAGAAAAAAAAAATTATCAAAAGTGGGGCGTGCGATATTATTTGGGCTTTACACTGTCAGTGCAGTCAACTCACTGCAGAAGTTCCCTGATTTATCCAATGCTGACCTAAATGACTGATGATAATGAATAGAGGTTTGTTCCTGTATTGGGTGTTTTTATCCCACGAAAAAAAGGAGTTGAACTTAATGGACAATCAGCTCTAATGCACGACCCCCGTTCTGTCCATTAAATCAAGGTTCCAATGTACCACTTTCTATAACTTTTGACCACTTACTGCGCTGCTTCAAAAGCAACGCAACGATTGTTTTGACGCTTCCAAGAGGTACAAATGGAATTAGTCCATTAAATCAAGGTTCCAATGTACCACTTTCTAAAACTGCTTACTGTGCTGCTTCAAAAGCAACGCAACGATTGTTTTGATGCTTCCAAGAGGTACAAATGGAATTATATCTTGTTTGCTTGAGATGCCTTAGCCCTGTGATTTAGATGACTTGGAATGGCTATCCTGACAGTCGATGATCTCGACGTGGATGAAGAGTGAGGAGGGTGAAAGGCTGGAGCCATCCTGCTTGAGCAGTCGGACATGGCGATAACCTGTACAAGCCAAAGTAGTGCATGTTAGGAGAAGCAACCTAAAGTTGTGAGTGCCCATCAATCTGAGCATTCGCACTGCTTTTTCAGTCATACCGTACCTGTGCGGAGACTTGTAAAAGGCAGTGTGTATTGTCCGAGAAAGTCGTTGCTTGAAGTATAGTCGTGATCTTCAACCAAAAAGCGAACAAGAGCCAGGCCAGGAGCATGAATGGTAAAATTAAAGGTGCAGTCCCATTGTGGATTAAAACCTGAAACAACGATAGATGAATGAAAGATGAACTCACTTCCATTGAAACACATTTACTTTACACACTTGAAATCTGCTTCTCATAGGGGACTTTGCTAGACACCTATTCAAAGGCAAACGTTGAGAACCCATTCCTCCGTTATCAGTTCGAGAGTGCCAACCCTCTCATTCACCAGTGAACCACAATGTAAAGGCACCGAAATTTGCTAGACACCTATTCAAAGGCAAACGTTGAGAACCCATTCCTCCGTTATCAGTTCGAGAGTGCCAACCCTCTCATTCACCAGTGAACCACAATGTAAAGGCACCGAAAAAGGGGGAAATATATATCCCCCCTTACACCTGCTTGTTGCCACTCACTTTGGACAACAAGTGGAAGAGTGTCAACTTCTCTCATTATGACTGGTTTGAGAGTTTAGCCAAGAGGATGTCATTAAAAACTCATAAGAGGGCTGACCGGTAACGCCCCGGATCATGTCGATGTAAAGTCTCGTGAGCATATCAACCTATTTCTCACTTGCTTCATGGTAGTGTACATACCATTATTTTGGATGTGATGGGTTTTCTTCTTGTTGTTATCAATCGTAACACCATGTATCTCAACCCAAACATGGGGATCCACAATGGCTGTCGGCTTCTTCTTCTCTTGCTTAGGTAACTGCTGTGCGGAAATAACCTGAAATAACAATTAATAAACAAGTGAATCTATGGAAAAGGGTCGTGATTGTTTGACCCCCTCCTGCCAATCAAACATCGGAAGTAAAGTGGAACAGCAACCGCACTTTGTGATGCACTGTAAAAACGTTTTTTTATTGGAATTCGCAGTTGGTGTGTCAGTTTTCGTACCTTAACAGTGAAAAGAACAGGCGCATGGCCAGGACCGCCACCAACATTCTCTGGATTAAAGGTGGTGTACGGCTGGCACATGAAAGGGGGCTTCAGAATGTAGCCACATTGACCATTCTGCATGAATTTGCCTCGATTTAGATCCATCTGTTCACCAGGAGTTTGGAAATTCAGAGCCACTGGGAGGGGAAAAAAAACCACAACACAACGTTTGATTTCACTGTCAATAACGCAAAAAAAAAAAAAAAAACAACACAACAGCGTTTGATTTCACTGTCAATAACTCGTTTTTGAAACAAGCACTTGGCTGCATGTAATACCCGCCCGAATCAAAAATATTTCATCTACGACGGTGTGATGCGTCATTATCCCGTATGCTTCGTCTTTGTTTTTTATCAATTGAATTTGAAAATGTCTTACCAAGTTGGCAGCCTCCATTCCACATTTCCTGAGGGTTATAGTTGGACGACTGTAGTCGCTGTCCTGAGGGGTAGACCCTGCTAAGATGGTGGCTGTTGTGGCGCACAAAATACATCCCTGGAGGGTAAAAACAAAGAAACCCATCTCGTCGAGCCAGATACGCAGATATGAAAAAATATCGTGCAAAACCGATTTCACGTCACTGCGACAAACCCTCAAAATATGTAAACTACAAACTCCCTTGAATTTTTTTGCATTGCATTATTCACTGTTTTCCATTATCTTTTTCCAATCCAAATAAACATAGTTTATGCCACATTAGCAATATCACGAACCAGTCATTTAGCCAAGCATAAGTTTGACAGATTTTTTTTTTTATTACCTCTAATAACAGCATTAAAAATACAGTAGATCTTGCGAACTTTAAAATGCGTCAGTTTAATTCACAACATGCCATGGACTGGATGCCAGTAAGTCTTTGTAAACCAAGATATGTTATTTTAGCAGCATTTTTTTCCCTAATGGAAGTTTTTCTGTGTGTCACAGAACATGACAATAAACACGTATTTTACTGATTCTATATTGTACTTTATGGTTGATTCTATCTGCCCCCAAAATGAAGTAGAGTGTGTCAAAATAAGCCGTGCAAGTCTATATTTACACGGACCTGCATGTACTATGATTGAGCAAATGGCTCATTCAATGAGATGTGATGCTTTGACCGCAAACACTTGGTGTCATTTTAGCGGATTGCGCAGATTTTGCAAGTATCGCAATGTGGTCGACTAGCAACCGGAAAGTAGCATGCCTCCTTAGCCCAAATGCGGATAAAGCTGATCAGAAAATGCATGGCACACTTTGGTTGTGAAATTAACTTGGAATCCGGAAGTCATCGCTATAGAAAATCTATAGAGGGGTTTGGCATTTTTTGGCATCTCTCACAATGCACTGCCGTCGTACATATTGAAAGGATAGCCACATATTTATGAAAAAATATATTTGGATAGATGATTAGGCAAGATACCCGTTACAAGTCATGTGTGATGATTACGTTTGTAAGCAAGTAGCTTTCAACACATAAACAGTGGATACAATACCTGAGTCTTTGACATGTCTGAGGGCTTCACTTTCAGAAAATGAGGACATGTCACTTGGCGGGGATTTGGCAGCGTGTTGAAAGCTTTTAAAGTGCACACTGCGGGTGTACACGACCAATTCTGACAGCTCTGAACTCATCTGAGGCGCGGCCGGCTAAAGTCACAACAAAAAAAAAACGGTCACTCCCAATGCATCTTCACTCTGACAAAAACAATGACATGTGTAGACCTTGTCATCTTTTTTCCTGTTATGGGTACTGCTCTCAGCTTGGTTGACTTCATCGTTGACGAGCTTGACGTGACTTCCCGCATCGCTGGCTTCTCTTTCTTCCCCTTAACGAGGATTTTACCTTTCAGATCCTGCAAACAGTGCACACGACCACACTTTACCCACATATTACCCAGAGGAAAAATGAGTTCAACCCTTGTGTTAGGTATTATGAATTTGGGGTGTGTTTTATCCAGAATATCTGATTGTATCTCATCACAACTTAATTAGCAATCGATTCAATGCAAATATGCACAATGTGGACCAATTTGACTTGTTAGATAACAGGAGGGTTCAAATAAGAGCAATAGAAAAATACCCGCATTTTTAAAGACTTGTACACACACATTACATCTAAACAGCTTAAAATGCTTTAAAATGCAAGCGCTCTCTAAAGTCTCTGTGTACAGATGTGTGAGTGTGTGCATATATGCATGCACAGTGACACAGTGAACGGTTGTTGCCCCTTGAATTTTGGTTACAATTCGGGCTTCAAATAGACAGGTATACAATTGGATTTTTTTTTATTTATTTTTTTTTTTATGAACAATCAACACCAAGCGGGACACAAGCGGCACACAATCGTGACGCCGAACGAAATCCATATGATATTTTACAATTTTTTTAAAGAAAAAAAAAATTATCAAAAGTGGGGCGTGCGATATTATTTGGGCTTTACACTGTCAGTGCAGTCAACTCACTGCAGAAGTTCCCTGATTTATCCAATGCTGACCTAAATGACTGATGATAATGAATAGAGGTTTGTTCCTGTATTGGGTGTTTTTATCCCACGAAAAAAAGGAGTTGAACTTAATGGACAATCAGCTCTAATGCACGACCCCCGTTCTGTCCATTAAATCAAGGTTCCAATGTACCACTTTCTATAACTTAAAACTGCTTACTGTGCTGCTTCAAAAGCAACGCAACGATTGTTTTGATGCTTCCAAGAGGTACAAATGGAATTGTATCTTGTTTGCTTGAGATGCCTTAGCCCTGTGATTTAGATGACTTGGAATGGCTATCCTGACAGTCGATGATCTCGACATGGATGAAGAGTGAGGAGGGTGAAAGGCTGGAGCCATCCTGCTTGAGCAGTCGGACATGGCGATAACCTGTACAAGCCAAAGTAGTGCATGTTAGGAGAAGCAACCTAAAGTTGTGAGTGCCCATCAATCTGAGCATTCGCACTGCTTTTTCAGTCATACCGTACCTGTGCGGAGACTTGTAAAAGGCAGTGTGTATTGTCCGAGAAAGTCGTTGCTTGAAGTATAGTCGTGATCTTCAACCAAAAAGCGAACAAGAGCCAGGCCAGGAGCATGAATGGTAAAATTAAAGGTGCAGTCCCATTGTGGATTAAAACCTGAAACAACGATAGATGAATGAAAGATGAACTCACTTCCATTTAAACAAATTTACTTTACACACTTGAAATCTGCTTCTCGTAGGGAACTTTGCTAGACGCCTATTCAAAGGCAAACGTTGAGAACCCATTCCTCCATTATCAGTTCTAGAGTGCCAACGCTCTCGTTCACCAGTGAACCACAATGTAAAGGCACCCAACAAGGGGGAAATATATATCCCCCCTTACACCTGCTTGTTGCCACTCACTTTGGACAACAAGTGGAAGAGTGTCAACTTCTCTCATTATGACTGGTTTGAGAGTCCAAGCCATGGGTTAAGGCAAGTACAAGCTCAAGCTCCTTACTGGCCAGAGTTTCCCTCCGTGTCCTTAGTCCTCTGTACCTTCAGTCGCATCCTCAGACCTGAGACACCGGGCAGCTACGCAAAGGTGGAGGAGCTCAGAAAGGTGAGGTGCGGCAAGACCAGAACTCTTGACAGCTGCCCTGGAGCGGGCTGAAGGAAGTGTGGCTGCTAGTATGTACCTATGGCCCCTCCAGCCTTATACCAGTTTTGTCGCTTACTTATTCTAAAACCGTGAAGCGTCTTTGAGTTCTTCAGAAAAGTGCTCGACAATTTCAATGGATGATGATGATGATGATTATTATTATTATGATTAGCAGGGGCCCCAAAATAGAAGCCTGTGGAACACCATGAGAGGCAAAGCAGGACTTAGAGCATCCCAGTCTAACACAAAATGTACTGCCTGCCAATTAGGATCTCTCAACCACTCGAGCTGTACCGCCAATGCCCACCTGGTGGTGTACATGAGCCAACAGAATACCCTGGTCTACCACATCAGGCTGCAGTCAGGTCCAACAAAACAATACACACATAGTCTGCAGTGTTTTTAGCCAAGAGGATGTCATTAAAAACTCATAAGAGGGCTGACCGGTAACGCCCCGGATCATGTCGATGTAAAGTCTCGTGAGCATATCAACCTATTTCTCACTTGCTTCATGGTAGTGTACATACCATTATTTTGGATGTGATGGGTTTTCTTCTTGTTGTTATCAATCGTAACACCATGTATCTCAACCCAAACATGGGGATCCACAATGGCTGTCGGCTTCTTCTTCTCTTGCTTAGGTAACTGCTGTGCGGAAATAACCTGAAATAACAATTAATAAACAAGTGAATCTATGGAAAAGGGTCGTGATTGTTTGACCCCCTCCTGCCAATCAAACATCGGAAGTAAAGTGGAACAGCAACCGCACTTTGTGATGCACTGTAAAAACGTTTTTTTATTGGAATTCGCAGTTGGTGTGTCAGTTTTCGTACCTTAACAGTGAAAAGAACAGGCGCATGGCCAGGACCGCCACCAACATTCTCTGGATTAAAGGTGGTGTACGGCTGGCACATGAAAGGGGGCTTCAGAATGTAGCCACATTGACCATTCTGCATGAATTTGCCTCGATTTAGATCCATCTGTTCACCAGGAGTTTGGAAATTCAGAGCCACTGGGAGGGGAAAAAAAACCACAACACAACGTTTGATTTCACTGTCAATAACGCGTTTTTGAAACAAGCACTTGGCTGCATGTA